GTACAACAGAATATTAAAAACTTATCAAAGTTTTCAAAAGGACGTTAGGTCGTAGAATAACATTATAAGTTTATTTATCGATAGTATTAAGTACACTAAAGTTTAGTCCTAACTCAACTAAAGTAAACAAAAAAAAATAAAAAATCGTACACAGGTTACAGTGTTAATTTATCTCTTTATCAAACTTAGGCCTAACATAAATTTAAAGTTTTATAAAGTACGGCCTATATACAAGTGGATTTACACATTTTGTTGTCTACGATCACAATTCGTTTGTATTGTGCTAAAAATGTTATATTTAAAGAAGTACCGTTACGATAAAGATACTAATTTGGCCGGAAATGTTTTGCGGGTCTCTGCTAGTTAATAAAGAAACTCCGACCCCCGTCGAATGAATATATCTATTAAATACGCCTAATGCGATGATCTTTTTTTTTTATTCCATATTTTAGATCTAACATTCTAAAGAAAGTTACTGTGGGGTAAAGACTTCTATATTTATTGACATTTTTCAAGTGAATGAAAAAATTATTCACGCTTGTTCAACTGTAACAACTCTACAAGCTTACACTTATTACACGACTTTTTTTTTGTGCGCTTATAAAATTGTTTTTACACGAAACTAAAATTCATTATGAGAAATATGTCATTTTGAAGAGTAAAAAAAAAACGAACAGAAAATAAAACGAATTAGCACAAACTGACCACACTGTTACGTGAAATACTCACGTCAGTAAGCCTCATTTCTTCTGCGTCGTCTACGCCTGGAATATCAGTTTTTCCCTGAGATATGAAGTGATATTCGTAAATGTCATCGGAGAGAAGAAGTTTCTCTGTAATCAGACAATAGACTCACATTTGATACGATCAGATATTTATGTCATTAGAAATTTGAATGTTATGTCACTTAACCTCGTGTTTTTCGTAGTACAAGAATACATTTAGCGTCTGCTGAAAATGTGAAAAATGGTACACTATTGGAGGTGATAATTTAACCAGGTAATATTTGACTGTAAACAGAGGTCACGTGTTAGGATTTTTTCGAAAGCTTATCTGTTTATATATATATTTATTTATTTTCTAGAGAAGACTTTCATTCCACAATATTACAAGATAATGCACGCGAGTTTGTTTTAGAGCAAAGCCACATTGGGCTAACTGTTGTGTCCACCGCAGGGTATCGAATCTTGAATTTTACAGTTGTAAGTCCGTAAAAATTACCGCAGTCCTACCTTGGGACAAATGCGCGCGAGAATTTTAAAAATTCAAATATTAGTTAATTTTTGTTTTTGTTATGATCGTATGTATGTAAGCCTACATTTTTCTTTGTTTACGAACTAAAATTGAATTTCAGAATAATAAATTTTTGAATACAAAGTTTGGGCAATTTTTAATAGTTAGAAAATATGCTTCTAGGTCCGTTAAAAATCAAATTCTTCAAATTATGTCAAAATCATTTCCTTAGACCTCAAATGTAAGCACTACATAGATTAATCATCCCAAGAACAAGAAACCGGCCAAGTGTTTAGATAGTGAGCTAAAACGATAATAATAAAAAAAAAATGAGTTGGGTTTTTTTTCCCGCGCAGAGCTACACAAGAACTATCGCGCTAGCTAACCCTAATTTCGAATTGACAAGACTAGTCAACCGTAGTCACCCACTTCGTAACTCTTGGGCGAATTGTGAGAGTTCATCATCAAAGAGCGGAGCGCTATTTTGGGGCAACGGGACGCGAACGCTGGACCTTAAATACAAATTCCATCACGCTAACGACGGCTACACCCATTCCCCTCCAAAAGAACGAGAATGAGGTGCAGAGCGAAATTTGCAGCAACGGGACCCGAGCCGTGGGCCCTTAGGTAGATAGTCTATCATGCTAACGACTAGGCCACATCCAAACCTTCCAAATGAATTAGAATAAAGTGGATACTGTTTGTGATCTAAATACGTTTCTGGATTACTATATTTCGGCCATGAAAGTCTTCCGAATAGTATCTGCAAACAAAATATATCAAAAAGTTGAAAAAAATGAAATAAAGTTCATGTTTTCTAAAACGAAATAACCTCTGGAAAAATTATCACGATACTGATGAACTATATGTTGAGATTATGATATTTATCTGTTTCAGTGTTTTACCACGGCAGTGAGAGAACAAACAAATGTGAAATAACAGTGTACATGTTTCAAAATTTTAAATAATTAACAAATTATAATTCTTAAAGAACAATATACATATAAAATTAATTCACAAAATATAGTTTGATATGGCATTCTGCCTGGTAAATCTAATATGAACTTCCTACCCTTGACATTTAATAAGAACCAACACTTTTCAAAAACAATAAGATAATATTTATTATACCTAAGTGTGCCCAATAACTTTTCCATGTAAAAAACTAACCATGAAACTGTTTAACATGGAAATTGTTTGTTGTTAAGCGTAAAACAATCCTATGGGCTATTGGTCCTGTGCCCACTGCAGGGATCGATCCTTAATTTTTTGGGTTACAAGTTTTCAAGCTTAAAATTTAGTTGTTATTGTTTTTTCATCATTTAGTAAATGAAAATTTAGCATTTAACGAAAGGCCTCGTCGGCCCTGGATATGGCAGATGAAGTGTGGTTGATAGATTATAAAATACCTTCTTTTGCTATCGATCATTGGTGCTTAGAATTCTTTAATAGTTTGTCGACTTAGTGTTGTACATAAATAGAAAGTTGTCATGTTTGGTTTAAATATTAGTGATTAATTTATATTTGTGAGTGAATATTTTATTATTTTTAGGTTTTGTTATAAGGAGAGTTAAAAGCAGACGATTGTACAAGGTTTTGTTAATAACTAATTGGTGTCGATAATAAAGAAAATGGCCAGACGACTATGTAATAAAGATATAAATAGCGTGAGACGAGCGGGAAGCAGCAGACAGACAGCTAAAAGCAAAAAGAATATAGTTGGTGTGAAGTTAAGTAACGTAAAAGTGATAGGCTTAACGAATGACATAGGCCTAACTGTTAATATATATTAGAGTGAAACTAACAGTGGAAAAGGAAATAAAAAACAACTTTATTCCGTCAAAGCGAAATTCTAAAGTAATTGAATAAGCCTGAGTGCACTTTGACAAAAGGAACATAGGATATTCAGAGGAAAGAAGACTTCAATAGTAAGTGAATCACACCAGACTAATATTGCGATAGTATTAGAGAAAATAGTTCGGCTTGTCAACTGAGATTCTAATATAATTGAACAGGCCTAAGTGGACTTTGACAAGAAGAGGAGAACTATATATATACTAATATAACGTTTACGATATGCTTATATTCTCAATAGTGTGAATACTTTATTGTACATACGTTTAACCTGTTCCAAATTATATATATATATATATATGTGTGTGTTATTTAAAAACAAGTGAAGTGCGTACTGTTTATTTATCGTTAACAAATCACAGACACCCACTGTAATAGAATCCTAAGCCCAACAACTACATAGTATATATATTTATACTATTAAGAAATACAAGTAAAACCCATTTATTTCGACAATTAGCAAAGAAAAAAAAACAGAACCCATATACATATATAATATTATTTTTAAACTCTGACAAAAGTAAACTTACAAATGCTTATTTTACAAGTTTAAAACTCATAATCAGAAAATACCATTTGGGTAATAATCTTAAACACCAGTACTTTAAATACGCATATTCAAGTGATCGCTTGTGTTCCAACAGGAAAATCACTATTGGGTAATTTTACCCATCAAGACTTTAAGTATGGATTTGCAAAATAGCTCTTTTGTGTATGATAGAAAGAAACGACGTAGCCCAAACTTAGCTAGACTATTTTTTGAACTTCAGTTTTAAGAGAATTCAAGAGACTTAACTGACCTCTTGTTCCAGGGATACCATCGGACATGAGCTGATAGAAGATATGGTAAGATCGCTCAGCAGCTTGTTGGGAGATCACACGAGCTTTTTCAAGTAGATCTGTAGAAAACAAAACATTGTGTGATAGCAACTCGAACAGTTTTGTGGTAGTAACGCAACAGTAACTTTGTGTTAGTTAAAGGAAATAAATTACTGCCAGAAAGCCTCTTCACAATATTCTAGAACTAAAGTCGAGAAACACTCCATACTCATAGTTTAAAAGACTTATGAATGAAGGGAGAGAACTACCGATTGTACTACTGTACAGGTCAGTTAGATAGGGAGAGAGCTACAGATTGTACTATTGTACAGGTCAGTTAGATAGGGAGAGAGCTACAGATTGTACTATTGTACAAGTCAGTTAGATAGGGAGAGAGCTACAGATTGTAGTATTGCACAGGTCAGTTAGATACAGCATTGGTCCTGTGAGCCTAACGTCCTGGGTTCGAGCCCCAATCTTGCAGTTTCTTTTCAATTATCAAATGTTGTTAAAAGGGGGGAAAATAATGTTATCATCAGATCTGTTGTTGTAAAATGAAATTCACATTAATTCATACATATGTTAAAACTAAAACAGGACATTATGGCTATCATCCACTCATTGTAACGTACGATATCATAACTGACTATCATCCACTCATTGTAACGTACGATATCATAACTGACTATCACCCACTCATTGTAACATATGATATCATAACTGACTATCATTCACTCATTGTAACACGATATCATAACTAAATGTTAGTGAAACTCACAATATAAGTCAACTGTACTTGAAAAAACTTGATTTTATTACTTACTATTTCTTATGTGGAACCTGTGATTTAGTTATATTATGTGGAACCTGTGATTTAGTTATATTATGTGGAACCTGAGATTTAGTTATATTATGTGGAACCTGTGATTTAGTTATATTATGTAGAACCTGTGATTTAGTTATA